CAAGATCTGGCATGTAGGTTATGTATGGTGTGCATTACACACATGAAAATATGCTAGCGTTGTAACGCGAGGGATGTCATATTGCAATCACAGTGGAAAGTTTGCTTAAGCCTGGTAGAGTTTGTCCACGATAAATGCCATCATGACTCCTGAAGTAGATATTTGTACTGATTCACTTATTTTGCCTTCTATGTTGGTCTTATGGCTTCTGCAGGTACTTATCTTGCAAGTACTAAGAAAAATGTGTGGAACAAAAACTCCGGGCCTGTGGAAACAAATCTTTACACACTACAAGACATGTAAAAGCTTTTAGAGGGATTGCTGTATTCTCGGGATAAATGTTAACAGGAAAAGAACTTCTCTCTCCTAACTCTGCAAGTACTGCACAAATAGCGGTGGGAGTTCTGTGACCATGTGGCATATACATGACATGAAAGGATAACAAATCCAAGGTTTCTTGTAGAGCCTTCACTTGTTCATGAAGTAGGCAGTTCCAAAGGATTAGTTTGAAAACACAAAGCTACAAGGTACCAGAAAGTGCCACGTGGATGCAGTCTTGTGACCAAAGCAGAATATAGGTATAAATAAATGAGTTAAGCAATCCCTTGAACAGATTGTTAAGCAGGTTAAAAAATTAAGAAATAAAACCAAAAAGTGCTTATTTTCATTGCAAAGGAATTGATATCTACTTTCAGTGCTACTACAAGCGTGTTCCACTGCTGAGTTCATAGAAGCCACTCAAGGGGTACTAGGGCTAACTCCCACAGTATCTCTCTTCTCACTTTCTTCACTGATAGAAGACACGTCAGGGTACCATCGAAAAGCTTACTACTCCTATTTCAGTGCATGGTGAAATAAAGAGAAAACCCCAGTCCCACAGATCAGACACATTCAGTTCCTTTCTATTCAAACAAACTCTAAGAGACTAGGAATAACCGAACGCGTCGTTAGATTTTACTGCATTTAAAGACACTACCTTCATTAGTGGGTTTGAAGTGCCCACTCTCCAACAAACAGCTACAGTATTAGTATTCTGTGCCAGAGACCTCCATGGTTCCACAGAAGGAAGATAAAGCAAGTACACAGGAGCTCATATACTTCCCTACAAAGAATATGGTCACCTTCTGCCAGGGGCTCAAGAACTGATGTTCATAACCCACTAGGATCTGGAGGTTTGGTTCAAGCCCCATGTCTTACTTCTTCTTTTCTCTAATAAGATTTCTCTATTTGGAACATAGCCACTATTTAGGTCACTTGAGAGAACAATAATCATTGCTGTTTTCTGATTTATGTGAAGCTCTGTATTATACCAACTGTGAAATAAATTCTGCGTAATCAATAAGTAATTAAAACAGAACTAATGGTTGCATATAACTGAGAGTACAAAGTGCAGCTACAATCTAATTATTATAATTTGATCCAAAAAAAGTATCCCTCCAGGCAGCAAAGTTTATTGGTGGAGATGCAGGCTTGTGGGGCATAGCTGCCAACAAACATGTTGATCACATGCTGAGCATCCTCACCCCTCCCAGAAGCTGAACACTGCTTAATCTGCCCTCTGGATAGATGGACAAAACTGGCTCTGCTATTTCTCTCAATATCCCTCATGTTCAGCTGCACATGGGCTCTTACTGGGGAGGGCTTTATATTCCTTCAGATCCAATTCAGTCAGCAACGGCAAAATGACAAGGTCCATCTATTCACACCCAACCTGCAGAATCAAATATTCAGACCTCCTTTCACAAAGTTACATGACACAATATGAAGATGCACTATATTCTTAAACACAAAATTTTTTTGAAAACTTAGATTTTTTATAAGTGGATACTCAGGCTTTAGCAGGTTCCTGAAGCCAGGGCCAGGGGCATGATCAGGGCAGATGTCAAAATTCACACAACCTTTTTGAGCAGGCAGATTACTTTACTTCCTTGTAAAGGAAAAGGATCACCTTAATGGTCTGAGACTGCAGTTGACTAGTTTTGGGGGGAGAATTTAGTATGAGAGATTTTGGGGTTTTCCCCTTTGCTGAGACAAGAGAGTGACTAAATGTTCTTCCCATCCCCTAATTAATGGTCTACCACATGCACTTGATGTATCATGAAACCGCCGGAAGCTATTAATTGTTATTTTTAACTATATATCCAGTTTTGTTTTCAGAGCAATTTTTCACTATATTTAACTCTCCTGTCCCTAAAAAAAATCATACTATTTTAGAGGATTGCACAAAAGTTACAGCATTGACTTGATTATACTCCTGGTAGAGGACTGTGCCCACTGTGGAACTGAATGCTAAGTGCAAAAAAATTATGGCACTCATCCACCTCTCTGCAGAGCATTGTAGATTTTGAGACTTTAAATACATCTGTCACAATCAAGGAAAGATTAATACTTTCTTGGATGGAAAGCATCATTTTAATTTACTTGAAAAGGAACTATATGCACATATAAAAGGGACCTTTCAGCTCAGTATTGAAAACAGAGGACAATTGTTTCTTCCAGCTTGATCTTTGCATAGGTTATTACAGGATATGGAAGCTGATTAGCCTCAGGCACATTTATGAACCTCTTTCCTACATTCAGATTACAGGCGTGATGTTTCTGAGGCATGCATAGTTGTCCTGCTGTATCATAAAAATGATAGGAAAAAAACCCCAACCCTTTTTATTCTTATATAACAAAAATACAAATTAAAAAGTTCTCCCTTCATGAAAAATTTATTGTCACAAGACTGGAAAATACCAGTAAGACAGACTGCAGTACTGCCATCACCTATGTCAGAAGGGACCAGTTGTGAGGCACTCTGAATTTCTCCCTATGGAGACTGTTTGCTGTCTCAGATATTTTCTGCCTCTCTGTTGCAGAACAGCAAAGTTGAGTGAGATCTTACTCAGTGGAACTGAACCACCCCTGCTTCATCTTCATTTATTGTTAATACAAGAAGCTTAGCTGAGCAACAGGATACTTCCCTTACTGGAAATTTCAACTCTTGCAGATGAGCAAAATGGGAAATGGAAATAAAAAGCAGACAGTATAGAATCATAGAATAGTTTGGGTTGGAAAGGACCTTAAGATCATCTAGTTCCAACCCCCCTGCCATGGGCAGGGACACCTCACACTAGACTATGTCACTCACGACTCCATCCAACCTGGCCTTGAACACTGCCAGGGATGGAGCATTCACAACTTCCTTGGGCAACCCATTCCAGTGCCTCACCACCCTCACTGTAAAGAACTTCTTCCTTACATCTAATCTAAACTTCCCTTGTTTAGGTTTGAAGCCATTACTCCTTGTCCTACCACTACAGTCCCTAATGAAGAGTCCCTCCAGGCATCCTTATAGGCCCCCTTCAGATACTGGAAGGCTGCTATGAGGTCTCCACGCAGCCTTCTCTTCTCCAGGCTGAACAGCCCCAACTTTCTCAGCCTGTCTTCATACGGGAGGTGCAAAACCATTATTCCTTCTTTATCCTCACTCCTTTTCTGATGAAATGTTACGTCTGCTTCTAGTTGCCTGTACTCTTGATTTAACTCCATTCACCATTGCTCACTTTCAGCCAGATATTCCTTGTCTCTGAGAGATACAGAATGCTGTTGCCTACATCCAGTGAAGGCTAAAAGAAGAGCCATATCACTCTCTTGACTAGCGCTCCCACTCACTTCATCTTCTATTTAAAGACAACCTATTTGGTATAACCAGTTTCAAAAACATTGCAAATCTCACCTTAAATTAGAATCTTTACCACCTGGCCTCCTGAGGGCCCTCAATTACTTATCAGCAACACTTCTACCTTGTTCTATACCATTATGTCTCAGCTTAATTTCATAAATAACTCTGGCATACAACTTGTGGACACAGTCATGCAATTCACCTCCTCTGAGCTCTGTAGAGATCCTAGAGAGAATCACAAAAGTGTAGTAATGCTATGGGACATGGAGCACATGCAGACAGAATAAATTAAGGTGGAATGTCTCTTAGAGGTGCAGACAGGAGACTTTAAGGGCTAGAATTAGTGGTCATATGATAAAGACAGTGAAGAAGAGAAAAACTGGGGGAGGGCAAGAACAAAAGAGAAAGAGGTAGAAATGAAGGAAAGGAGGAGAAATGTTTATTTAGTTATACAGTATAAGCAAGCATTATTAATAAATATTGCAACTTAATTAGTATGATTTTTAACATTGTAACTTACCATCTATAGCCAACTTGAGATCAGTCAGTGTAGTTCGAACTCTTGATATAACATGTTGCATGCGGTCAATTTCTTGACGGAGAAATATGTTTATCGGTTGAATAGCTCCCATCTTTTCAAGTTGGACTTTCACCTATACAAGAATAGTGCAGTAATTATAAAATTTAATGTTTCCTATGCAATAATTTTTGAAAGTAGAAGGATGTTTTTTCTATTGTATAGTGTAATTCCTAAGAAACTTTTATGTAACAGATGGCCATTCAAGTCCTGTGCCAACTGTAAGATTTAGCACACTGTGACTCATTAGCTTACCAAAAGGAGCTCCTCCACCATTCTAAGGAGGGAAAGTTCCCTCTTTCTGAAGGGAAACAGCAGTTCCTTCTGTCCTTGTTAGGCTGCAGGGTCTTAGATCTTAAACGCCCCCCCCAGCCACATGCTGTATAAAACTATGTTTGATGGTAACTTCTTCATATTTCCAAATCGTGCTAGGTGAACTTTCTCATCTCTTCTTGCCCTGCTGAGTTAAAATAACGCTTCAAATGGAGTTCAACTTAAGAAGCACAATGATATATAAAAGCTGCTACTTTAAATAACATGAATCACTCATAAGACAAAGTGGTCATGGACACATTACTAGAGAGGCAAGATCAGCAGGATAAGATGCCACGGAATTCTGTTAACCATTATGTGCACCATTTTGTAGGCAGAGGCTTTTGTCCTTTATTTTTAAGGATAGCAGTTTCACATTCAACAGAGAACATTTTCAAAATGGAATTAGTTGTCTGTTACTTAGGAACATGTCACAGCAATGGTAGCAAAGCATTCCCTATTTCACTTTAGCATATGATGCATATATAATATGCTTCAGACATACACTGTATGTTCCATGTATACTAAAGATCACTGTACGTAATAGTGCATGAAGGAGGATTTAGTGGCACCTGCAGAAATCATGGTGCCAATACCTCACACAGTACTAGAAATTCTTGATTTTTAAGACTTTCAATTGTCTTTCCTCCCTATGACTTGGCTTTCAGAAAATCAATGGCCACCTCCCTGTACTCGGCTCCAACCCGACACATGCATAATCTTTCACACTGAAGAAGCCTGAACCCTGATCTTTGCCATATGCCATAGTCACTCCTTTCCTCTGCAGGTGAAATTCTGGGGGACTCTGGAACCAAAAAGAGATTTCGAATAGTAAAATAAGATCCTAAATCCAGATACATACATGGCCATTAACTTGTCATGAAAGAGGTGACCCATTCGATCATTTGCTAAAATAATTCAAGACCTCATTTGTGCTTACTGACAAAAGATGAAGAGAGTTTATACTTTCAAAGAGCAAAATATCAATGGAATTCTACTGCAGCCAAGTAGAAGCCACAGGATTTGGTATAATGAGTGCTATTTCATCAAGGCCAGAAGTCCACTGGATTTTGCTTTGTGTTTTTCCAGATATACTTACCTCATTTATACATTATTGTGTATACTGTACATTATGTGGACATAGTAAACATTACTAAAGATCTTATTATTACACTGAATAGCAAGTTGCTATAGGATGAATATAATATAGGAGTTGAGCAGTTATAATTACCAGTATAAATAAGTAAATGCTTTGACAATTTCTAACTCTGAAGTCTCAACTCCAAGCCAAATGAAATACTCTTTTTCAACTTGATATGCTGTTCTCCTTAGAAGACAGCTATCAGCAAGGTTATTCATCATATTTTAATCACAAGGACCCATGAGTTTGTCAGACAGAATGTCCAAGAAATAGGTGCCAGCTAATTATGTTAATGCTTTGCAGTGTGACAGTTCATTTTACAGACTGAGTTAATGTGTTTCTTCCTGTAAAAGTGAGAAAAACCACTGCAATCAGCTATCATGAGACTAGAGTTGAAACAATAAACCCTATTTGGATAATTTACACAATGATGTACTCTGATTTTTTTCATTCAAAATCCATGGAAAGTTTCTGCTTTCTGAAAATTTTACAGGAATTGATAATTCCCCCTCTTGCCAAAAAAGGAAAAAAAGAAGTTTGACATTTTTTTTTTTTTCAGAATACTTAGAAATCTAGTGCATGTTACTAATAAGAAGGAAATGATATAGAATATAGTCCATGAATTTTATCTTTTAAAAAAGAAATACACTATTTTTTCTAGTCTACAAAGTTCCTTTTGGGGATTCTTTAGAGGAAGAATTTCCACCATTCAAGGAAAAATTGTATGGAAGATGTTGTTAAAGAGGTTATTTTCCAAAATACTGGTATTTATGACTCTACAAAGAGCAGATGAAATCAATATTCTAAAGTATTAGTGTACTGATAATCATACAATTTATCTAGTGAATTCTCAGATTTAAAACATTCTTCTGATTTGTTTCCATGTACCTAGAAAAATCCCTGTAACTTTTGGAATAACAGAGTGAACTAATAAAACTAATAATGCAGAAATCTGTTAGTCTATCCTAGATATGTTCACAGCACTCAGCCTGGAGGACCAAGCATAACCAGATATGAAAACTGAAAAAAACCCCTGACATACTTCCTACCTTATTATATACAAATCAATCCTGATCTGCAGTGAGATTCTCTAGGTGTAACATAGCGCCTTTCTTGGAAATCTTTCTGTTAAACACTAGTATTAAATACCAGCTCTGAGGCATGATTGACTGTTTTTGTACTAGAATTCTCATCAAGCAATCAGATGACTTACTTCCAGTGCTGTATTTATTATGATATAAAGACACGGATACCAAGTGACAGAAAAAAACCTCAAAAGACAACACTTACTAACCAAAATAGCCTTTCTGTGATCAATATACCAATTCCATAAAGCCCACTTTTCAGTGGTGCCCAGCAATAGGACGAGCTGTTTTCCAAGCTACAAGGATCATTTTCATTATAAACCTCTGTGTGTGACATTTATTAGGCTGACATTTATTCTTGCATCTGTCTTTAGTCACATGGACTGATTGGACCTAACAATTTTACCACTAATCTCTTTGTTACCTGTGAGGCAAGACCCAGAAGCAAAACAGGTTATGAAAGCAGAATTCTTTCTCTGGCTCTACCTTTGGAGTGAGCAACATGAAGACAGTTTTAGGTCAGGAGGAAGGTTTATTCAGGTTTTCCATCACCTGTGTCAAACTGCAGACTGATAAAGCATGCAAAGGTTACTTGTTTTGTTTATACTCTTTTGGGTAGACACTGAGTCAATTATTTGACTGGTGAGAGGAAGCATTACAAGAACACATCAAAAGAAACATATACAATGGGGTAAAATGGTCGCCCTGTTTTGAAAGTTGTTGGTTCCAAAGTTATTGCCAAAGGCTAGTAATTGAGAAATGAAGGCTGTGTCAGCCTGAATTTATACCACATCAAGAAAAAGTGCAATCTGGAGCTCTGAATGTCAGCAAATAATTGTTTTCAATACCACCTGTCCCTAACCTAGCCTGCTGGGGTTTTAACTCCAAGCAAATTCACTCCATACTTTCTAAAGGGAGCTACAAGAACTGGTCAAAAATAGCAAAGGTACCGGACACTTTCTCCGAAGAGTATTTGCTTCTAATTACCCTAGTTTGTTTCCTAAATTTTTTGTTCATTTTCTCCACCAACAGTATCTTTATAGCTGAATTTCCAAAGGCTATAATGCCATGGTTTTATCGGAGCACAGTATTCTTCTAAAAGCAAACCCAAGCTGCACTGCTAGGACTAATGAATGTTTTTCTTTTTACAGCTCTTATCCAATGAGGCATGCATAGGAACTGTTTTTGACACATTCTTTCAGTCTCTTACAATTTAGTGTATTAGTTTTATTTGTTTCAGGATTGTTAAACTGATCTAGTAGGTAATAATGTGCTGAATATAGGCAATAATGTACTGAATGACCAAATGTTGACTTAAATTGACAAAACACAGAACTCAGACATCACAGGAAGTAATTACATAATCCATTTCACTCCTTATACTTGCAAGCTTAATTTCATTTTCTTATTATATTGCACCTTCTGCTAAATTCTGTTGTTTCTTCCCTGAGAGACCATCTAAACTCTGCCTTCTTTTCTGCTCTGACTAATGAAATTCTTGGTTATATCTTAGGGAACATAATATTATTTTTTCCCTTTGGGAATTTTAGACTATTTTTTTTTCTTTTGTCAGTTTATATAAACTTGTATTTAAAAGCATAGCTTGCTTTACAGCTTACTCCTGCCATCTCTGCCCCTTCTAAGAGGTACCAGAATATGAGATCTCCAGTTCAGATGAGAAACACTTTTGACTGATAGAGATTTTTTACTTGTCATGTAGATGTAGCCACACTCCTGGCCCATAAACAACTGCCACAAAGAGTTGGAATTAGGCACTAATAGTAGAAAAGGGAAATTCTCCAACAAAGAAAGCATTGGTAAAGACCCAAACGAGTTCTAAGATCTAAAGAATAAGAAGAGAAAGGGTAAATACATTAGTCAAGACAACAAGGGAAATACTGAAGAATCAGGAACTGCAGGAAATAATGCCAAATGCTACAGAGTTACAATCTGAAGTTGAAGTGCAGCTGACACAGCCAAAATGATGTAGCGAGGAACACATTATTACCAATAATAAACTGTTGGAAAATTACCAGAGGATGTTTTGTAGATACTCAAAGCAAAGGAAGACAACCATGATAGGGAAACAAAGCATAATTTTTGGATGGTTTAGTGGAAAACTACCATGTCATCCATCAGTAAGCGGGACTCAAGAAACAGCATGTAAGTAGAGTGCTGTGATTAAACAAAGAGAAGTGAAACTCATAGATCAAGATGTTCAGAGTCTGAGAAAACTAGAAATCACCAGGAAGAGATGGTATCTACATTACTGATTAGAGAATGAATCAAACCTACATCCTGAGCTCAAAATACATTTACAAGTAATACAGAGGGAGAAAGTAGATCCAACAGGACATCCTCTGACCGTGCCTGTAAGAACAAACTCGGGGTTGGGGGGGAAGCTGATGCAAAGTTTTGATACCTAATATTGGGTTGTCCTGTACAAACACAAATCTGCTTACCTGAATCATGAGAGAACAGCTGTCAAGAAAGTTGAAGCAAAAGAGATTTCCTTGAAGGTCAGAAAGGTACAGAAACAACTAATTGTGAGCATCATTATAAAGATGATTGCTTATAAGAAAACTAAAACCAGCATGTATGATTGGCAGATCATTAGAAAAGATAATAGCTTGTCATACTACTGGATGATGAGAGTGAAACAGCAATGAAAACAATTAGTGGTGATTTTTTTAATAAAGTCATATGAAAAAGTATGTACTGTACCCAAATAGGTTAGCAAAATGGAGGCAAGTTAAGACTGCAGGGTGTAAGGTCCAAAATAAACCCTCCGGATTCTTTGTCCTTCACTACAGCTCCTGGCTTCATAACCAGTTGTCTCCAAAACTAAGACACTCAAGGAAGTGACTTAAAAGGGGAGGCCTATTATGTGTCTTTTGTGTGGACATCCTGAGTGAATAAACCAAGAAGGAACGAGAATGCCTGAAACCAAGTTTAGACAGAAGGAATGCCAGAGAAAAACACTATCTATTCAAACCATTCAGAAGTGAAATTTGGCTTAAACAATTGTGTGTGCATTTTACAAGGCTGCACAAATTTCCCAGGGCTAAAATCTGAAGGCAAGAATACCTTTTGGTTACAATATAAAGTCCAATATTTTTGGTGTCTTCTAAGTATAATGAGTACTTCAGGAGGAAAAAATTTTGCAATATAACAAGGGAATGAAGATATATACTCCTTCAGAGGATTTAGCAAATAAATTGGAAAAAAAATTAGCTTGACACACATAGGTGTAGATCCAAGGTGTAAATTATTAAATTTATTAACTTAGTAATTAAGTGTTATTATACTTACTGTATTTCACTTTATTTGTTATTTCTAATATTTATCTACTATTAAATAATAATGTGAAAACTAGAAAACTGACTCCATTCCAAATCAAATTTTACAAATAAATGATTTATATACTATTGATGAGAATCACTCAATAAACAAGTGACAAAAAAAAAAGAGAGACACAAGCAGGGATGAAAGGATGGAAAAAAAAAGCTATGTGGAAAAAGCTGTTAGTAAACCTCACCAGAAAGTTGCAAATTTTAAGTAGCTTGCCAAAAGGGGAGTGAAAAGAGAAGTTCTGTGTTGAATTATGACAGTACAGAAGAGTCTATTTATATAAGACATATTAAATCTGAGATGCATAGTAGAACAAAAGAGAGGACATATTGCCAGGGTCCTAAGACTATGGGTTATAATGTAAGTGGACTTTCTAAGTTGGCCAGAGAAGAAATAAAGTATAACATAACACGTTGCAATACTGCATAATGGGTACTTTACAGGCTTGGACTACAACCAGGAAAAAAAAGAAAAAAGTACTATCACTACAAAAAAGAATTGTAAGTAATAAAATCATGTAAATGATGGGTTTTCAATAGTTATTGTTCATGAAACACATGGCAAGATACCACAACCTACTTTCAAACTGATGCAAGAGTGCTTTATGTTGGATTTTTCCATTTAATGAGAATGTTAATAAAAAAATGCAAGAAAACATTGACAAATATATCTGTTATGGTTCAAACTCCAAAAAATCTGGGGCATGAAAATGTCAGAGATAGAATGCCTTATTCATAATGGTGGTATCATAATAAGAGTAGGTAAATTAAAAGCTGTAACCACTATAAGATCACTGATCCTCCAAGAAAGAGGCACCAGTGTCATTCTCTAAGCTACTAAGGAGGGCAAGAACTTTCTGAAGTCTCTAATGGCTCTTCTGAGCTAAGATGACTAATTAAGTGGACTATGGCATTTGAAATATAGGTTTCCACTGTAGGAATATTTTAGATAATAAACCAAAACAGACTTACAAAGCACTGTGCATAACTTTAAGAGCTTTTAAAAACATTTGCCAGTTAAATTTAAGAAGCACAATAAAACTCATAAAACATACACATACGTACATAAAACATCTGTGTCTATAAAAAAGCATATACCTCATGAGGGTTATAATCTGGAGGTAGCTTCTCTAGCATTTCACCAGCAAGATGCTGTACCACTGCTTCTCGGGTTTCTCCTCCTCCAGTGCTGCTGTCTTTGGGCTGGATGCTCACTATTATACTTAATGTCTCATTAGCCAGGTTAGTCTGGTAAGTTATATCTGCATTAGGGTGAAGTCCAAATACCTTAAAGTAAAAGGGAAAAAGGAAAAAAAAAAAAAAAAAAAAGAAAAAAATCTGCTATTTTCCTTCTACAATTATATCTGTGAAAGAAAGCATGAAAATGGATAAACACACAAGAAAATCCACAGCTCTACAAAACAACAGATATGAATAGGTCAGCGGCAGTACATCCATTAAACTGGCCAAGGACCAAGCCTATATTACACAAAAACATTAAGATAGGCTGCATATACAACAGCATTTTCGTTCATATGAGTGGGGGGTATTAACTGGTCTTCTGTTGATCTTTACATAGCAGGCTTTGGATCATGCTGTGGAGTTCTACCAGGGGTAACAATCTGATTCGTTCCCACTGGTTCAGACTAGAGCTTGTTGGAAACATGTCATATGTGGACACTGAGCCCTCACCACTAGCTCATTGTCTCTACAGATCTATTGCTGTTGTTCCATCTATTACTACCAAGTAGATTCCCCTCATAATCAGAGCAGTTACCATTTCTAACACATTTTGGTTTATGCAGTCTCTTAGACTTATAAGGCATGCAGCACAGTGATTAAAACAATGCCCATATTCAAGGTATCTAAAGATTTTATGACTAGTGATGTATTTAAGATATTTTATGGTTTAGCTATTTTTGGTTTAAGTCTCCCTTACTTCCCCTTCTTCTGAAATTGAATTGTTTTATTTAAGATACAGCTAACACAGAATTACTGCAAAGCTGCCCTTTGTCTGAATAATAATAGCTTTCTCAGAAAGTTTCACTGAAATATCAGTAAGTCTATAATTGTCAGGTTGACAAGTGCAACTCTTCTCCAGGAGGAATTGTGCTGTGACTTATTTCACAAGCCCTCATCTAATTATAGCTATCAACTATCTCTTATACACTTTGAACCACTGATCTGACAATGAGGAAGGCTTGCCCTCAAACTGAGCACCAAAGGCAAGCAATCTGCCGTTTCACAGTTTTTATATTTTGCATTAGAATTTGTATATTACATGGAGACACTTGTAGTGACCAATATTTAAATACTCTGAGGGCAGAATAAAAAGGGCCATATGTAATTCTGTTATGCCTGCCAATCTAGAAACTCAGAGACAAGGGATATAAGTGGCTGTACTTGTGTCAAAGCCAGCAAAGCTGCACCGATTTACAGTAGTTGTGGATCTGACCCTTACACAACAGCCCAGAGAACACAGTACAGGCCTAATACGGCTTGTGAGAGGTGTTACTACAACTAGCATGGAATTAGATTCCAAGTAAGATTTAAAATGTTTTACACATAGTGCTTTACTGAACCCAAACGTTTAGAGCTGTAAAAAGTGAAAATATCAATGCACTTTATTAGACTCCCATATTCTATGTCGGATGAAATACACATTTGAAGATACACTCTTTTCTGCTTTTGCTCTTGCACAATAAGGGTTTGTTTGGTTTTGCTCTAGCAGATTTCATGGCAATGCTATAGCCCAAATTACAAACATGAAAAACGTCTGCTACTGTGAATGAATTGCGGTGCTAGTCCAAGGGCTAACTTCAAAACTGGGATAATATTACTGAAAACAGGGATGTTACACGGGAGACAACTCTGGTTGTGTGTTTTTATGCAAGCTATGTATGAAGGAATAAGAACAAAGAATCCAGAGTAGTAAAGCAGTGAGTACACCAGTGTCCTGGATGTCCTCTATATTAATAAAGAATCAAATCTCTCATTCTTTTTGATCCAAAATCCCTGGGAATTTTGATTAAAAAGAGGATGTTAGATTCTACCTTTCAGGATCTTTTTTTCCTAGTCTGATAAATCTTCAAAACCGCTTGCTAAAGCTCCATACCACTCTGAAATCAAAGTAATTTTTGAAGGGATTGCTGAGTGTAGTGGGTTGATCCTGGCTGGATGCACGTGCACCACGGGCTGCAGGAGAATCTCTGCTCTGGCACCTGGAGCACCTCCTCCCCTCCTTCTGCACTGACCTGGGTGTCTGCAGGGCTGTTTCTCTCACATGTTCTTAGTCCTCCCTCTGGCTGCAATTGCTGCACAGGTGGGTTTCTTCCCTTTTTAACTATGTTATCCCAGAGTCAGTCACTACCACCATCACTGGTGGGCTCGGCATAGGCCAGTGGCTGGTCCATTCTGGATCCAGCTGGCATTGGCTCTATTGACCACAAGGGAAGCTTCTGGCAGCTTCTCACAGAAGCCACTCCTGTAGCCCCACTACCAAAACCTTGCCACATGAACCCAATACACTGTGTTCAATAGCACCCTTCAGAAGTCGGTGATTATTCTGATCAAAGGTTGAAATCTCATCAAAAGAGCAAGGATACAGCAATCAGACTTATTCAGTCCTTCCTTAACCAAAAATGGAAAAGTGAGGGAACAAAGATGCACTGTTTTGACTAGCACAATATTCTTTGTGGAATGAAGAAGACTGGGAGATTAAAAGGTTAAAGGTTTCCATGAGCAATTCTGACAGATTTTGGAATGACAGAAGAAAGTCTTTGCTTTCTTCCTATCCTGTCTGTGAAAATGTGAAAGGGAAATAGATGTATGCATTCCTGGACTTGATCCTATTCACATAAAATTCAAAGGTAAAATTCCCCTTAATCAAACCATACATACTGATTTTTTACAGGCGTAAAAATACTTCAAAAATACATTGCAGCACTGAGATAGCTTCACAAGTGCTTAGAAAAGCAGATGAAATTAGCACCTGAAATCTGATGGAGTCAAGGATCATACACTGATAGGAACGAACATTATGTTGGCTGCATTTACCCTCACTTGGAAAAGGTGCATTGTTGCTAGCAAACAAATACCCTTGTGTTCTATTTTCACTACCTTCAGAGATGCAAAACTGTTCAAGTTTATTTTATGACCTTGGAATCTTCTTACCCTCTCAGCCAGCACATTACTAGTAACAGAAACCCTTTTTCTTATTTTTTCTGTTCAGTTCTATCTATTTAATTTTAATAGAACTTACTTCCAAAGGCATTTATCAACTTAATAGCAATGAGAAATCCAGAGCATTCGCTTCTGTTTCAACTTTAACTAACTTCATCATGTGTGCTTGTACTAGAGGGACCAGAAAGTTGCAGTCCTCCAATTAATGTTGCAGTATACACACTGATTGCCATGGGCTGCCCTGCACTCTATCCCATCAATTCATGGCAATACTCAGTTCTTCGTGTTGTCAAAATGGAATAATCTCCCAATTATAACTTCCAAAATGAGACCATATGGATTTTTTATTTTCATTATTTCTCAGTTCATGTCAGATCAATCCCACACATATTTGCAAAATCGCAAAATAGTTTAGTTTGGAAGGGACTTCTGAGGCCTGTCTAATTCAAATGACCCACTCAAGCAGGCTGTCCAGCACAGTGTCCAGCTGGGATTTTAATACCTACAAAGATTGAGACTCCACAACCTCTCTGGGAAACCTCTTCTAGTGCTTGACCACGTTCACTGTAAAAAAAGTGTTTTCATGATGCCAGATGGAATTTCCTGTTGTTTAATTTATGCCCCATGCCTCTTATCCTTTCACTGGGTACCACTGAAATAACACTGGCTCCATCTTTACACCTTCCCAACAGGTATTTACACACATTTGTAAGATCCTGCCTGAACCTCCTCTTCTCCAGGCTAAAGAGTCCAAGTTCTCTCAGCCTTTCCTCATATGACAGATGTGTAATATGGCACTTATCTAACCCATACATTGTCAGCTTGACTATGAAATTGTTATGGGAGTTGGTGACAGACGACTTACTAAAGCTGAGGTGAAAAACATCCACTGCTCTTCACTCACTCCCCAAGCTGGTCACCTCATTGCAGAAAGCCAACAGGATGGTTAAGCATAATTTCTCCTTCACAAATCCATGCTGGCTGCTTTCAATCACCTGCTTGTCCTTCATCTGTTTGGAAATTCTTTGCACAAGGATTTTCTCCAGCACCTCTTCAGTGACTGAGGTGAGGCTGACTAGCCTGTAGATCTCCAGATCTTCCTTCTTCCTTTCTTGAAGACTGGACTCTTACCATGACCATTTAAATTGCCATGACCATTTAAAGGTAATCGGGAGTGACCTGACAATGACATCAGCCAGCTCCCTCAGCACTCACAGGTGCCACCCATCAAGTACCATGAACTTACATACGTTCAGTTTGTTTAAATGCTCCCTAACCTGGTCCACTTCAAGTAGGGGTAAGTTCTTTGTTCTAGACTTTTTGTCTCAGGGGCCTTGGATTCCTGGAGGCCAGTTTTACTAGTTAATACTAAGACAAAGAAAGCATTGAGCCTTTTCAACGTAATTTCTCACTAGTTCTCCTGCCCCATTCAGCAATGAGCCCGTATATTCATAAGTCATCTTTTTACAGTTTACACACTTGTGAAATCCTTTCTTGTTGCCCTTCACATTCCTCGACAAATTCAACTGCCCTTTAGCCTTGGCTTTCCTAACCCTATCTCTGCAAGACTGGACAGTAGCTCTATACTCTTGCTGGGTTACTTGTCCCTGGTTCTGTATCTTGTACCTTCCTTTTTATGTCTGAATTCAGTTGGGAGCTTCCTGTTCTTCCATCTGGACCTCCGGCTGCCTTTGATTTTCTACTTGTTGAAATGGATTTTCCTTAAACCTGGAGGAGGTGATCTCTGAATATACACCAGTTCTCCTGACCCCTCTTCTCTCCAGGGTAATAACCAGTGGGATTCTTCCAGGCCTGGAAGAAACCTCTGATGAGGCTTAAGTTCACTTTCCAGAAATCCAGGGCTGTGGTCCTAATTTTACCCTACCCCCTCCTCATAGGATCCTGAACTCCACCACTGATCACTGCAGTCAGTGATTTCACATTCCTGACCAGTTCTTCCTTGCTCATAAGTACCAGGTCCAGCCAAATGCCTTTCTTTGTTGGCTCTTCAGTTACCTGTGCCAGGAAGTTGTCATTAATGCACTCGAGAAATTTCCTAGATTGCTTGAACCCTGCTGTATCACCCTTCCAGCAGAAAACTAGGGTCTTTAAAGTCTTCCCTGAGGAACGATGGCCTGTGAACATGAGACTTCTTCCAATTCATAGAATCATAGAACAGTTAGGGTTGGAAAGGACCTTACGATCATCTAGTTCCAACCTCCCTGCCATGAGCAGGGACACCACACACTAAACTATGTCACCCAAGGCTCTGTCCAGCCTGGCCATGAACACCTCCAGGGTTGGAGCATTCACAATTTCCTTGGGCAACCTATTCCAGTGCCTCACCATCCTCACTGTGAAGAACTTCTTCCTTATATCTAACCTAAAGTTCCCCTGTTTAAGTTTAAAGCCATTACCCCTTGTCCTACCACTAGAGGTCTTTGAAGAAGACGTCACCTACTTCTTCCTGGTCAGCAGATCTACACTAGGTACCCACTATAATGGTCTTCCTGCTAATCTTGACCTATACATTCATGATGCTGGAAAATATACCTGATTAAATTCTTTATCTAACAAAAAATCCCTTTAATATATTTTACCTCAGGTGTATCAGTCACTGGCAATTGCTCTATGTACTGGAGATAGTCTTCAACTGTTTTCCCTTTTGGAATAACATAATCTTTGTAGAAACAAAAATTTTCAGTAAACATATGCTCTCCAAACCACACTCTTGCGTATGTATTCAGCAGTGCTTTGTCAAGGTCATCAGTTACACGGCCACCATACTGCACTTCCCCAAGCATATAGCGAACACAGCTCCAGTTCACCCCACGCTTAATGTCCATGTCATCCAAATGATTCTGAACAAATTGCACGCTGGCTGTGAAGTCTGCCTGATTAAACTCATAAGGAATATTCCAGCCCAATGGACCAAACTTTCGTCTTTCCTGTAAAATAGATAAAGGTGAAAGGCTATTTGGTAGTAATCGTGAAGAAAACATTAAGTGAGGAATAATACATGAAATAAATATGCTAAAAATGCAGTAGGCCAGTTGACACTGTATTTTACCAATCTCAAAAAAGAAGATTCTTCTCTTAAAACACACAAGGCCAAACGCTTGATTAATTATCTAGTAGTTAAATATCTCTTCATTTATCACCATCAGTGAAGAGATAAGAACAAATAATACGAATATTAACATTTTCACAAAGAATAAATTTACTTTTTTAAGTGCAGCCAATCTGTGAGTCTAGAACTATAGTTTTTTAATTCAAAAAATGAAGCTTCTGTTTTAGGAAAGGATATCTAAACTCATCAGCCATGACCATTGTCTGTGGTCCTCTTATGGAATAGGTATATTCATACCACTGATGTCTCTGCATGGTGCATATGCAAGTAGAAAAAGCTGCTTCTGAATCACTTACAGATGCAGCTGGCAGTATGTGGTTGTTAGCATAATATCTGGTATTTAAACATTTTTCATCTCCACCAAGAAAAAAGTGATGGGCCAAAGACAAGCATACCACAGGCTTCCACAGGACCACAGTGTATCAGTGCATAGATGCTACAGAGATAAATTTACTAGGCACCAAATATAAACTAAGTATATTGCAAAATCTATCAATAGAATGTTGAAAAGTTGTGGTTAATCCATAAATCACTATTTTTAATGGAAATCCTCAAAGGCAAAACCCAAAATCATATTTCACCTTCATTTCCTCCTACAAGTTTCAGTGCAGGAAGGATTTATATTCACTCTCTTAGCCCTTCTCATGGTGAAAGCAGCTGTTTTAAAGACTATGGTTTTCCAACCCAAGCTTTTGGGTAAATTTCTTTAATGTGCTTTTATGATTTAAAATCTTAGTAAAAAACCAGTTAGTTGAAAGACAGAGCACACAGCCATGTCCAAAGACTTTAAGAGAACAGTACACTAATTGCTGACTGTCCTTTTTCCCTCTGAAATACCATCCCTGCTGGAGCTACAAGATCAACATGAGCAGAGTTCTAAGAGGTGTGTTGTTTTCTTTCTTATTTTATTTGCATTAATTTACCAACACAGGATTTCCATATAAACATGTTTTTCATTTAATAACATGGTGCATTAATAAATGACACATGGCTTTATGACAGAAGTAAAAAATGTATTTTTAAACCTGGACAGTTGTGTGAAGAAACGCTACAGCATATAGCAATGGTTTCCACTGTGGCATGTTGCTCACTTCTAGGTGATCCTGAGTAACAGCTGAGTATGTTCGTTTTAAGCCAGCTTTCACACCTAGAAAATAAGTATGAAAATGTAATGTATGAGAAAAAAATATATGGAACCCATAAATCCAACTTCTGTTAAGCAGATTTCTCTATTTCAATTTACAGTATCATCTTATTTATAGCTTCAAATAATCTCTTTGAATCAATTATCTGTTCGCCTGGTCACAGAAGGTAAAGTTCAGTTACATTTTGTTTCAGGTAGATGAGACACCAAATGAAGTTCATGAGTCTGAAAGGAATTACATTTACATAACCATATTCCAAATGTAACCAATAACAATTAAAATATAAACGTAACTATTCAACAACTATATGGCAATCAAAAAGACACCTAACGTCATGTGAAATATAGCACTGAATATCCAAGAATCTGTGTTTCAATATTTAAATATAATCCGAGACTTTAGTTCTACCAAAGACAATCTGATTTAGATTTCATTCCTGTAACAGTTTCAAACTGCACCTTCTCAAACTTGCATACAGGTACCAACCTGATAAGATGAGAACCTAAATTCATAGTGGAAATACTAATACTTGTGGAGATTTGTTTTAGCACTGACATTTCATATCCCAGGAACAGGTTTAGGCAGACATACTGATACAATCTCAGCTTCCTTAGAATACATAAGCACCACTATTCCCAGATGTTTTCAGGCAGTGCTAATGAAGCATCGTCTGCCTTTAGCAGACAACACTGAGCATGAGTTACTGACACCAGGTCCCTCTTAGTATATTTTTCATCTAATCAGCTTAACACAAGTCTAAAAAAACAGATTTCAAGTGCAGTGAAGAGATTGTCCAAGACATCATATTCCTATGACACAATAAAAGCCATTTTGCTTCTTTCCTACTTCACAAAGATCCTGCAGAACAGTATTCAAACAAATAGCTTTTCAAAATATTATAAGGTTATCATAAGACAGTTCCAAAATCTAGACAAAGTAACCAAACAGCAGTGCCTCATCACATTGTGCTACCAATGTGGCAGGACAGTGTCAGAAAACTAAAACTGTTTGTATTTCAACTTAAACTGTTACACTGAGCATATTTCTATTACCAAATGCAAGTTGCAAATTGGCTTTAACATAACTTATAAAATACCCTCTTGGAGTTATAGGGTGTTATCATTTCAATGATAAGGAGGGAGTCACAGTACAATAAAAAGTTGCTGAACATTGACTTAAAAAGCAGGAAGGAGAAGAGAAAAGACATTTTTAACAGCAGACTGACTCACTGCTCTTGAAAGTGGAGTATATACACTTGAAACAGGATGTCTTTCACAAGATGAGACATTTTGTAGGCATGATACTAATGTTCAAAGGAAGGTGAATACTGAAATAAGAGGTTTAAATGACTGAAGCATTAAATATGACCTTGGGAAAAAATTCTCTGTTCCTACTGACTTCATTAGCTGAAATCAGTGGCAGTACATACATATAAATGAAGGGCAAGTTAATGCATTGCACAGTTAATGATCAGGAAGTTAAAGTATTAAAGTGTAAGAGTTGAAATGGGAAAAGATCCTCAAGATAGGGGAGACGCAAGGAAGCAAATGCCAGGGGATGCCCAGGAACCTAGGCCAGTAATGAACAAGACTGGTAGCTGCAAGTAGTTGCACAGCATGAAACCAACATGGCTTTCTCCCTAGACCTTCTGGACCAGCAGTGATCTCTCCAATGGGAAGAGAAATCAAGATGAAATGAATGCAGTACAGGAGGCTGGCAGCATGAGACAATGAGTGTGTAAAATAAGTACCATAAAACCCAGGACTATGAGAATGAAGGCTTAGGCCCACTGTAGGAGAGGATCAGGTTTGAAACCATCTTAAGAACCAAAATGTGCACAAGTCCATAGGACCTGGTGAAATCC